CAAAGTTTACAAAAATCTCACATGCCATTATTGGAACAAATTGATATAACATCACATCCTGCAAAGGAATATAATATGGCTTATGTGAAGAGACTTTTAATCTCAACAGGAATTTTATTGAATGAACAAGTAGATATATTGTTGTAAAAGTAGCTATATCAATTGATATTTTATAATTTTTATAATTCTACAAATTGTATCAAAAAAAAAAATATTATGGATACTATGAGATAGTAAAATAAGGATCGACATAGAGGTACCACGTTGCCGATCCAACCAAACCAAATTTCTGTAGAAGTCACGTGATAATGACATCATTTCTATTTTTATTTTTAATATTATATTTTGTGAAACTACTGCGCCATATATTGCACAGTATCACACATACAATTATTCATATTCATATTTCTATATTTATATTTCAAGAACTTATTCAGCTGATGTAAATATTTACTTTAAATTATTTGTAATGCTCAGTTGACCCAAATATTTATTTTACATTAATAAGCATAGTTTATTGGACCAAATAGAGTAAAAGTCATGTTATTTGTAATACCCCAAGAGGTATAAAAAGACTTGGTTTTAGACCAAGTCAGAATCATCATGTTCATAACAATCTTTTAATTATTGATCTAATAATTAATATTTCCTAACACATTGTAATAATTATTGCTAATAAAATACATAACATATTTTACCCTAAAAATAATAACCTCCAGTTAATTAATAAACCACAAAGGAGAACCTTTGCTATCCATAGCAAGTAACCAACATTTTAACTATTAAGACACATCTCAAGGGGACGCCTTTGGGATATAATTATATCTATAGAACCTAGGGACCCTTTTATCCAAGAGGATAAAAGTCATATTTTTATTATTAACCTTTGACTGTAAGTCAGTGAGTAGGCTGTGTGTCAAACAATAGAATCAACCGTAAGTCAGAGAGGAGGCTGTGTGTTGAGCTATAAACCACCTATTAAATAGGAAACTCGGATTGCATGCTCACAATACAAACATTCTAATTTGATAACCAAAAGATTTTTTTTTTTGACATAAAAAAAAATCTGAAAAACAAAAACAATTCACTATTTTTGTAATTTTGTAATTTTTCTAATATTATGAAAATGTTGAGAGTGCAATTTTTTCTTTACTAACAAGTTATTTCATCTGAGCTTTTTGTTTAAATTTTAGTAGTGTGAACAAAATGTGCACAGAAGTACTACTCATTCATTTCACATGTGTCCAAGAAAAATAAAGGTTTATGATATATAAGTGTTTAAATAAAATCAAATAGTGTGAATATCCAATTTCTAAGAACAAAATCAATTTTTTTTAAAAGATAACAAATACATGCTCACCTATGTTGAGTTGGGCAGTAAGCTATTTCCTTCTAATTTTCACTTTCTAAATTCTTCATGGTTTGTGATAGAGTTCTTTTATTCTTATGGTTTTTCTTGATAAATTCATAAAGTAATCCTTTCTTTTTTTAGATAAACTTCAAGTGTGTGAGTGTCATTTATTTTGAAGATATAAGGAGCAATTTTTTCACCTTGTTCCTTTTGCAAAATACTTCTGATAGTACTATAATTCTTTGGCTCCATAGTAGATCTGATGTAAATGAGTTTCATATTAACTATTTTTATATAAGAGTAGCCTTAAGATAACAAATGGGGCATTATAAAATTGTTAATTGCATTACATTTGTGATGACTAGATTTTGAACCCTGAAATCCTTTGTAATGCCAATGTTCAATTTGTTTGGTTTTGTTGCAGTATGCCCATTTAATGAAAATAATAATTAATGTTGAAAAATAAATATATTAGATATTAATTAATTTATTACCTTCCACCATTGTAGTGGATCTGTTTGAGGATTTAATGGAGATACTCTTCTAATTCATCTTCTTTTTTATTATTATAATTGTTACCAAGTGAAAATGTAAAAAAAAATTTTTCATTATTATTAGTGGCAGTGGCAGTAGTAGCATTATAATAAAATTCATTGTATTTATCAGTTAGTGTTTTTTTGGCCATGTCAGTATATTCCTGCTCCCATTCTTGACTCTAATAATATTTCAACTTGATCCTTGGATCCAATACTAGAATAAATTTAATAAATGAATAAATGAACATTTTTAAAATATGTGTGTGTGTATATTTAGAAAAAAAATTGTCATTATTATCATAATGCTGAATAATATCTCTGTATTTGGGTTCAATATTCACAATTGAGACAATTTTCCTATTTCGAGAATCATTATTTTTTTTTTTCCATTTGTTCATACTTAAATGAGTGAATGATGATATATTTTAAAATTAAATGATAATAATTTTTTTTGAGAATTGTTATTCGCACCTCCCATTTTTGTTATTCGCACCCCTCCCGTGGCTAAGTGTAGTAAGCGACCAATGAATGGCTTTAAAATGTGATGATTTTATTGGTTCATCTTTGTCTTAGTCACGGGAGGGGTGCAAATAACAAAAATGGGGGTGCGGATAACAATTCCCCTTTTTTTTTAATTTATAAATATTAATGATTTTGTTAAAATGACAATAATTAATTAATAAAAGAATAATGACAACAATTAATTAATAAAAGAATAATGACAACAATATTTTTAAAAAAAGATTAAAAGACAAGGGTTGTATTGCATACGACACATGATACGGCATAAAACAAGGGTCTTGTCATTCGGCATATTGGACCCATGTCAACCCGTGTGGCCGCGGGTCAAATCAAATTCATGACCCGACCCGTTCGGAACTCTACCCACAGTTTTGTTGACCAAAACGTGTCAAAATGGTGGTGCTTATATTCCAGAGAATACGGTAAATGTTACAGAGTCCATTTGATTGGTGGGTGCTGTGTACTGTATGGTGGTGTATATATGACTTTTTAAAAAATTTCTATTTTTGTAGACCATACAGTACAGTACTGAATGCTTATATACTCGTATTATTGCAGGATTGAACATGGTTCATATCATCAATAAAGTAATGAGATGACATTCATTATCTCATAAATTTGAAATTTTTTGTTATAATAACAAAAAATTCTTAATAAGTGCACATCAAACTTTACCAGCACAATTTTTTTCTTTTATTTAGTTGTGCAATTAAAATTTTACACACTGAACACACTCCAAAACATAATGTACTGTGTATTTATTATTTATTGGGTGAATTTTATAATACATTATAAAAACTTGATGTTTCAACCAAAATTACGGTTTATCACTAATCAATGAAAAAAACATAATTTGAGATTAGATCCCTTGTGATGTTGAAGTTTTTAGAACTTCTCACAAATTTCATAATTAGGGAAATTTCTTGATTAATGTAATAAATAGTTTATTTAATTGGTGATAGTTTTTTCAGCTGACAGTTTTCTGTGGATAATTTTTTTCAAAATATGATCTTTGTTACTTTTATTCCTTCAGAAACATTAGATTTGAGAAAGTAGCTATCAAGTATCTCATGTTTTTCTCTTCTCTCTTTCTGATATTGATACTATAAACTGTATTTAATGCTGATTTATTAATATTTTATTTGAGAATTTAGTATAACCAAGGATCAGACACATGGATTAAAAATCCAACAATCTTGATAATAATGCTGTAATAGAATGAGTTACATCAAAAAATAGAAAATGATCTACAAAATTGACATTTTTTTATACAGTGCTTTTTGTGTGTATTTATTTGTACAAAATCACTATTAAATTATATGAAAAAAAGTTAGCCAAGATCTAATGGGTTTAAATTTTTATATTATAATTTAACAAAAGTCATCTTATTTTCATTATTATTACGAGTGTTTCTGGGTTCGGCAATTCTTTAACATTTTTTTTTAACTATTTTTGGGCAAAATTTTAAACTTCAAATGTTCAAATTTCCCACGATTATTTATTTGTTTAATGGATTTTTTATATAATAGTTAAAATATCTTATTATTCAAATTTATTTATGTTGTGTTATCAATTACAAGGAAATATTTACTTTTATGTCTCATTAACAAATATCAAATCATTCAGTTAATTGGATGATTCATAAATTCATTTTATTTTTAGATTGATAAAAAAATTATTATGATAAGAATCAAGATAAACTTTGCATCATTCCACAAATAAATTTGTAAATAATAACAAATTACCGTAATAATTAATTGTAATGAACATAATAACAATAAAAAAATCCAGGAGACAAAGTTAATTGGATCTTAAATAATGAAAAATCCATTATAAATTCAGATCAAAAAGTTTTTTTTTTTCTTTTTTTTTTCTTTTTTTTTCCTCTCTCATTTCCATTCAAAAACCTAAAACATAATGATGACAATAACAATAACAATAATAACAACAGCAATAATAACATTATTATTATTACTAAAAATATCATTTAGAAATTTATTAACACGATACAATCGTAATTCTCCAAAAAAGTTCTCTGAAATATGCGAACATATTGAAAATTTATTAATTAGACGTTACCCTCCTCCTCCCCCGTCAGAAAAGATTACTGATAATAAAGATCCTAATGATTTCAGAGATTATACATCGGAAAAGACACCTTTAAGGGTGATCAATTTTTACCAGGAACAACATGAAAAACAAACTGTGGAATTTGTTATTGCTCAACGTAAGAAATATGGAAAGTTGAGTACAAATTTCATCGGAATATGGGAGGGGTTGGAATTGTTGAATAGTCTGACGGATAATTCTGATCCCGATACAGAATTATCTCAAATTGAGCATTGCCTGCAAACCGCCGAAGCTTTGAGGCGGGATAATCATCCAAAATGGATGATTTTAACCGGTAAGTATACTTATTTCATTTTATCCAACAAAGAATTAATAAATTAATTAATTATTTCTCACTTGTTATTTAGGGTTAATTCACGACCTGGGAAAATTGTTATTTTTCTTTGGTGCAGAAGGTCAATGGGATGTGGTCGGTGATACGTTTCCTGTCGGATGTGCGTTCTCACCAAAAATCATTTTCTCGAATCTATTCTCAAAGAATCCGGACTATCACAATGAGAAGTATAACACATTGTATGGTATATATTCTCCCAATTGTGGGCTTGACAACGTTTTAATGTCGTATGGACATGATGAGTACTTGTACCAGGTCGTCAAGGATTATCTCCCCCCTCAAGCAAGTTATATTATCAGGTACCATTCGTTCTACTCACAACACAGGGATGATGCGTATCGACACCTGATGAATGAATATGACTACGAGATGATGGAATGGGTTAAATTATTTAACCCATACGATTTATACTCAAAAATAGATTGTCCACCAAACGTGGACGAACTCAAACCCTACTACATTCAATTAATTAATGAGTTTTTTACAGAGAAGATTCATTGGTAAAATTGTTATTTATTCATTTGTTTATTTTCTTTTATTATGTTAACTACTTTAATCTTGTTGTGACATCTTATTAATGTAAATTGATTACATAAAAAATTTTTGAATTATTTACAATGCACAACTCCCTCCCCCACATTTTACCATAAATGATATTCGTTAGCGTCGATTTATTCATTTATTTATTTAATTTTTTTGTAATATTTTAATTATGGTATTGTATAAAACGTATGATTTTTCACGTTTAATATTTGTCCTTTTGTATTTGTTTTCAAAAAAATTTTTTCTATGGAAATTCGTTGAACATTACGTTCGCATACATATAAATACATTTTAATTGACGGATGCGGCCAATGTAAGCTATAAACAACAATAATAAATGCACAAACAAATAAACTTGTGTACTTCTTCTTTCTTTGTCAGTTTATAATTAATATGAATACAGTATATTATTGTCACGCTGACGTTTATGTAAGGTTGTACATGCAGTATTATTGACGTTACGTTGAATAATATCATTAAACTTCAGATTTTTTGCGCTTTCATTAAGTATGACATCGAATAATCCATATTTTAGAAGTATTGAAAAGTACATGATATTTGTTATCTCTGTGAAAAGGTGAAATTTTTGCATTAGAATTAAAAAAAGACTGATAAATTACAACGTGCGTGATAAACGCTAATTTCCAAATTTTAGCCTTGTATATATAAAAAATTGTTGGAATTCTATTCTTATTTTTTGTATAAAACATAATTTTCGTTTTCAAGGTAAAGCGTACTTGATCAAGTTTTATAAGTTGACGATCAACATAACTTTACAACTTATTCAAATCTTAATTTATTTTAGTCACTTTATAATTTCCCACGCTTCTAACTTTTTTCCACGACCCCTCCTTTTTTTTTGTATTTATTATTACTGGTTATCAATATCACGAGCAGTTTTTTTTTGGAACAGGCAAAGGTCTTTATCCCGGTCGTTTTGGTAATGACATTATTACATGAAATTGTTAAGGATTATTTTTATTAAATAAAACATACGAAAAACATATGGAGTAAACCAGCATTAGTATGTTTTGTGTGTATTCCTTATTTTATTTTTATAGGGATAAAATAAAGTATTAGAAGTTTTTTTTTTATAGACAAGAAAATATTTGTTTGTTTATTTTAATTTTTTAGATAAGAACATTCTTGATAAACAAACGAAAAACTTATTTTGCTAAAATAGGATAAATCCAATTGTTGGTATGTCTCTCACTATGTTGTAAAACTTTAATGCTATCATGACACTAATAATAGATAATGGGGGATTATGCGTATGTTCCGTCAAATTTTGTGCACATAGCTTTCAGGATTACTTTTTGCTGTGGATCATAGTTCAACAATGTATGATTTCTCCAGGGGACAAAAAAATCTTTTGCTATACTGTAATGAGTGTATGGTATAAAATGATAAAATTGTTTGGATACCGTCTTTTTGATTAAATACTTATTTCGTTCTAGATGATACAGCTTTATTAGTTGTTTTGTTTTCAATTTTGCGACTATATTATCATCATTATTAAATTGTGATCGACAGTCAAAACCGACTCATATGTGTCACCACATATTAATATATAGATTTAACCGAAATCCAAATCTTAATTCTTTTTTGCATGTAACAAATATTTATTGTGGCTCAAGCATATTTAATATGTTTAAACCGTGATAACTTTCTTTTTTTTCATAAATGAACAAAACTTTTTATAGTTTTACTGGTTTAAGTATTCCATAATAAAGTTACAGAGAGTCTTTTTCTCTAGCCCATTTAGTTTATCTATTAGCGTTTTTTTTTTTCAACGTCTTTGCTATATATATAAAAATTTCTCTGTAATTTAAAAGCTTACCTATTTACTATAATTTTCCGTAGTTTATTTTTTTTATACTATTATTATTGATCGGCATTATGTTACATCACCTAATTTTGATGCCATTATCGAAAGTTGTTGTTTACCATGCCAAACCTATGGATTTAATGAGCTTTGACTGTATTTAGAGTCCTAATGAAAATAATAATTGATCAAACAAAGCAATTGAACGTATTTTTGATTATTAATATGACAAGAACATGATCTTATACTTGAATCACAACTTCTTATTTTCATGTAAATAAATAATTTAGTTAATGCAAAGTTGTTATAACACTCATATAGTGTATATATAGAGGTTTTGAATAAATATTGATAATGAGATGTATATATTTCGTCTTATAATCAACGTGTGATACAAATTTAGGATTGATCTACTAATTCAACCAATAAATTGACTAATTCATGTTACACATGACAATTCCGCCAAAACATTGGTTTAAGAGGTGATCTAACCATATAAAAAAAAATTCTTTTAGGGTAACTTGGGGTTAATCTTTACTTTTATCCACCGTTAAAAATTTTTTTTTCATCCCAACAACAAAACTTTCTATTCTATATAAAAATGTCTGAAAGATTTTTATCCTTGGAAGGTTTAAATACCTTATTTCAAAACATCATGACCACATACGAAGATGCCTTACCACTAAAACATATCAGCAAGGCCTTAAATGATTTTACAGAGTTGCTTAACGTTCCAGACTTTTACGATGTAGAAATTAAAGTTGGTGGTGGAGTGGATGAAGATGAAGGAGAAGTTAAAATATATAAAGCTCATTCTACCATTTTAAAAGCAAGATCTCCATACTTTAGAGCAGCATTATCAAATAGTTGGATAAAAAGATCCGACAATGGGATCATTATGTTTGAAAAAAAAAACATTTCTTCTAACATATTTGGAGTTCTTTTAACGTAAGCTTAATTTAATTTAATACAATTTGATTTATTGCTTTATGGGTTGGTTAATTGGCTGTAATAAGTAAAAAAAAATTTATATATAAATAATTACATCTAAAACTTTATTTTAAAAACATCAACATTAAAAAGATATATTTATAATGGAACCATCGATGTGGATAAATTAAGTCCAGATGAAATTTTTGAACTCCTTGTGGCGTGTGATGAATTGAACATTGACGAATTAATTGGGGATTTGCAAAACTATTTAATCGTTAAAGAGGATCAGTGGATTCGACAGAATCTGATTGATATCTACAAAGAATCATCTAAACATCAATCATTCACTTTGCTTCAAGGTTTTTTTAATAGAAATCCAGAAATCTTTTTAAAATCTAGTGAATTGGCATCAATTGACAAACCATTATTAAAAACCATAATTGGCAAAGACGATTTAGAAATGGATGAAGTTGATATTTTTAGTTCCTTGATTAAATGGGGATTAGGACAATATGAGAGTTTAAAAGACAAAAATTTTTTGGAGTGGAACAAGGAAGATTACACAAAATTAAAAGTTGATTTGGAAGATGTTGTGCTATCAATAAGATTTAACGAGATTTCTACCAGAGATTTTTATTACAAAATAAAGCCATACAAAAAGGCAATTAATAAAGATATATATGAAGAGCTTCTTAAATATTACGTTACAGATGAATGGCAACCTAGGTTATTACCACTGAATACTCCAAGAACCGGGGCAGGAAAATTATTGACCCCAGAAATGAAATGTTTAATCACAAGTTGGATAAATGGAAAAGATTATAACCAATACAATTTACCATACAAGTTCAAGTTGATTTTTTCTGGGACCAGGGATGAATTTTCTAGATCAGTTTTCGAAAAAAAGTGTTATGATATTGAAAAAACTGTTTCTATTATTAAACTCAAAGAAACAAACGAATTGGTCGGAGGGTATAATCCAGTTACTTGGAATCTAAATGAAAAAGATGAATTTGAAGGTTACTCGATCGAATCAGACAAAAGTTTCGTTTTTAAGATCGACGGAAATCAAATGAATAATTCAACCATAAGTAGAATCAGAAATCCTAAATATGCGATATATCGTTTTAAGCCAACTGTTAAGCATGTTTCGGATAATATGTTGTTTAAAGAAGGTTCTATTAATTTTTGTGATTTACGAGTGTACAATTTTAGTGCCACTGAAGCCTATTGTTATTATCATTTCCAAGGTTATTCTTATGAATGTGCTTTGAATTTTAAAAATAATGATAAAGAAGTTCATTTAATAGAAGAACTGGAGGTTTATCACTTAGTAAGAAGGCATTAGTTTTTTTTTTTTTTTTTTTTTGGGTAAATCTGTATTCGCACTATTTTTTTTTTTTAGATTATTTATTTTTATATTTATTTTTATATTTATTTTTTTCAACGAGTGGTATTTATTCTATTAATAAATATACATTTTCGAATTATTATCGCATAAACTAAATCCTCAATAGTTGACCAAAAATAAAACAAGCCACCATAATATCGTAATTAATTGATTAATTAGCATAACTTATTTCTATGTAACGCAAAATATATTCAAGATGAGAAGCTTTAGTTGGAACAGCGCAGTTATTATTATTATTACTTGCCAATATTAATTTTGTCGTTCACAGCCACATAACTTTTTTCATTAATGATCGGACGATGGTAAATGAAAAACTGTTTAAATATTTATTTATTTATCCGATATTAATATGATACGCATTCAAATTAAATGTCCGCTTTTACCCAAATTGTTGAATAGTTTTGCGTATCAACTTGTGCTTCTGCTAAAAGTAATAAAACTTTAAAAGTCTAACTATATAGGCAATTAAAATATTAATTTGCGTAATTGAAATTTAATTTATAATAATAAAAAGAAAAAGTGTCGAGGCTGGTATAATTTTATTCTCATTTTAATTTATCTACTCTTGAGAAGACAATAATACAGTTGAACCTTGTCACAGCAGACTATAATTACATTCTTGTCATTAATATTATTAATACAAAAATCCGTTATTACGATTACTATTACTATAACTATTACAACGGATTTTAAATAAAATTTTCTCATGTGTCCCGTTCATCCGCTGTGACAAGATTTGATTAACAAAGTATTAGTAATGTCGGTTAGTTTGACACATACCGTATTTCCAGACAAAAAATATAAATTCGTATAATCAAGTGTTTCAACGAATGGATCTCTTAGATCAGGAAAACCTTCTTCATCCCATAGATCATATCCTATTTGCTTAACCAAAATCTATCATCAATTTTATGAAAAAACTTGCCCGAATCAAATAAATTCATTGCCATGGTCCAATGTCCAGTCTCAGCAGAGTCACATGATTTTTATAAAAATCTTTATAAAAACTATTCCAAACTCATTGTTACCTTTGGTAAAAATTTTTCAAGTAAAGAACGAGTACTGTCATGAATATTACAATAAGCTAATGTTGTTTGACGAAATGTAACCAAAGTTATAAAACTATTACGTCAAATTCGCTGTCATAAGTCAAAAATGACATGATAATAAAATATAAAAGCTCACAAAAAAACATATAAATATATACTCCAAGATCTCCTCTTCAATTTTATATTTTTACAATTTCTTGCGTATGTATCCCAATCTTTCCTTTGTTTTATCAATCGTAGCTAAAAATTTTTTTTGCTGAATACAACAAATTCAGTATTCCTATTAATAACGTGATACATGATCGGGGTAGATAAAATCATCAGCACTTTATGTTCCAGGGTCAACCAATTTATACATTATCATCAAATGAAAATATTTGTTTGATTAAATTATTTTGCAATAACAGACTTTTATTGTAGTGATCAAATTGGCTTGAATAGGGGAATAACTTCGGATCCAAGCAGAGAAAAAATAAAACTCCGTGATAGAATCATAAAAAAACATTGCCTTTATTTTCTTTGTTTAAAGCACTTTGATAAAAGCAACAAGTGTATTGCCTTGGTAAAGGATAACAATTGTGAAGCTTTGGTAATAAGTCACGTTTTATTTGCTTTAGTGAGCAAAAGCAAAGTTACTAACGTTTGGTTAACTAGTGAGTGTTAATGAAGTGTCGTCAAATGGTTAATTGAAAATACTGGTATTTATTATTATTGTAATCATAAACGTAAGACTGTTAAACAAGATACTTAAGTTGCTTCGCAAATAAACTGAAGAGAGTTTGCAATTGGCCAATAAATATAAACAAAACCAAAGTAAATTAGTAGACTAATTAATTGACAGCCGAATTATTGTGCATTGGTTGCAATTAACCGACAAGAGTAGCCCATAATCAGCATTAACCGAAATGATACCTCGCAATATCACCATTTAACAAGAACAAAAGAATATAAAAAGTTTATTAAGGAATGAAATAAAAATAAAAAGATAAAAAAGATAATGAATAAATTTATAGTGGAGATTAAATTAGCCATCCTTCAATTCCTTCTTTTACTATTATCACTAGAATCTAATGTTTATTAATCAATCAAATTGTTAGTAATAATAATTAATGGATAGTAATTTCCAATTAATTAACTAATAATGAAATTTTATTCACCTTTGTTAACATTTTAGAGAAAAGAGTTACAATCAAGGTCATTTAATGAACTATTACTTGTGTAAATTTTTAAGCTTTTAGATTTAGCAATCTCTTCATCCAAAATTCTACTTTTATGATACGCATCTGGATGTGATTTGTGTACTTGTTGCGAATCACCACTACTAATACCACTGATAATACTACTACTGGTATTATTCTCACCATTATTATTTTCACGAATTTCCCTATTTTTATTTATAGCAAATTTAAGCAGCTCACTACTAGTTGGTCTTTTTGATGGGTCCATGTCCCAACACTTCTCCATCATTTCTGCATAATCATCAGGAATTCCAGATAATATTGGTGGTCGTAAACCTTCTGCACATATATCAAAAATCAAACGATGATTGTGAGCTCTATCATCAAATGGTGGATGACCTGCAAATATTTCCCACATTAACATTCCAACACTATAGATATCTGATTCTTTGGTGTTCTCTTTGCCTCTAAGTACTTCGGGTGCAATGTATGATACAATTCCATAGACTTTATCTGATGATTTTTCATCAACTGGTCCACATAACCCCAAATCTGTAATGTAACAAGCACCTCCTTGCAATAATATATTGCCACTATGTAAATCACAATGGATTAAATCTTTTTTGTGTATAGCATCTAATGCATCGCATAGATCATAAAATATTGTAATTCTGTCTTTTAACATTAAATTTAAATGATTTTTTTGTAAATAATCCCTTAAATTTCCCTCTAGAGAGTAAGGTAAAACAATTGCATAATTTCCATTATCTGGGAATTTAGTTATACCAAAGCAAGGAACAATCAGTGGCGCTTTAATTTTACAATAATTCATTGCCTGTAATTAAATATAAACACCAATTAGTATTTATTATATAATTACAGAATTGTTTATTTTGTTTTAAATGACAACTACCAACCTCATCAAAAAAGCTTTTTCCTGGATTACTTGAATCATTTAAACTTTTTAATACTACATATTGTGCTCCTAAATAACTAAATTCCTTTTTACTTTCATCATAATCAACTACTGTTCCTCTTGTCCATGTAGCAGTATAAATTGAACTAAATCCACCTTCTGCCAACTTTGTTATTTTTATGAATTGCTCAAAAGGTATCCATTCTAAAATATACTCTGGCAGAGATGATTTCATTTGACATTGCTGAATAAAGTCATCAACTATGTTATTTCCAGATGTCCAAGTGGTGAAAAGAGCACAATCAAAAGAGTTTGTTTCATTGTTGAAAGATTTGAAGCGTGTAATTAATACTAATGACAAATGAAATAGTTTTTTCTAAAGTGAATTAATTTATTAGTGATTTTTGCAAAAAGTGTTATTTATTCATATATTTTTATCTAATGTTAGTTACAGTTTGAACGGTCTGGGTAAAGTTGATTTTTGTATAAAAATTAGAAATTGAAAATTGACGAGAATTTTGCGTGCTTATATAAAAATTTTGATTCCTAACAAATTATTAGATTCACTCAATCCATCTTTTAATAAATTGAATGTTTCGGATTTAATTCGTTGTAAGAAATGAATGATGCAAAGCCCAAGCTTTTCATAATAAATTTCAACGCCGCACCCACTTCAACCGTGATCATTCTCTTTTTTTTAAAAAATAAGTAATACTTACTCGGTCCATTGATGTAACATTTTAACCATATTTTTTTTTTAACGTCAAGTTTGGATGGAAAGTTTCAGTTTATTTATGAATACAAGTAACGAAAATACTAATCTTTCAAATGATGATGATTTTTTTTAAAATTTAATGTAATAATGTAGGCACGTGACAAAAAAATTTGATAAAAAATGATATTTATTATTTAAAATAAACTAAAAAATACTTGGTTGAAATGTAATATATATTTTTGTACAAATAAAATAAGTAGTCGGTTTTGTCTTGTATGTGTGTATATTATACCGTCAAATTATTCAGTACACGAACCAAAAATGAAATAGATTTTAAAGTTGGATCATTACTATCCTGAGTATCCACTTGAAAGTAACGCTCTTCAAGACGTTGTTTAACTGTTGGTAAAATCCTTTCAGAGTGATCTTTGATAAGTGGGTCCTAGATTAATAATTTAAAAATTATATAAATTAACATTCACTCGATTTTTCTCTTTCTCGCGTTCATTCATATACATTATGAATTAGTGGTATTCTAGTTTGTTTGTTACCTTAGGATTAAGTTTTATGATAGTTTCTTCCAGCCAATTTAACTTAAATTCTTGATATTTATGAAGATCCATAGATAAGTGGTGAACAAGGGAAAGAATAACAGGCTGAGAAACTAAATTACTCGAAGAATCAAATATAACACTAGGATTAACCTTGCTACATAAACGAAGAATAGATTGTAGGTCATGTGTTGCTAAAATTGTAGCAAAAGCATCATCATAATTTCCCATTTCTAAAAGACGATCAGCAGAAACAGCACTAAGTCCATCAGGAGTAGTAGGCTCAATAGCAGCAAATAATTGAGAGTTAATGTGATGAAGCTGCTGTACTTCTTGTTGTTGTGTTTGTTGTTGTTGTTGTTGTAATACTTGTTGTTGTAGTTGTTGTTGTTGTTGCAGTACTTGTTGTACTTGTTGTTGTTGTTGCTGCTGCTGTGGTGGTGGCGGTGGTGGTGGTGGCGGTAGTGGTGGTGGTATCTGATGCTGATTGTGATGAGAAGGATGCCGTTGAGACGAAGAAGATCTAGCAAATGATGATGGATATTGATAAGGATCTGTCTGAGTAATTGGGGATGTTTGTGAAATATTTGAAGAAGATTGAGGAATTAAAATCCGTTTCAATTCCCCTGATAATGAACGAGCCAATTGATGCTTATAAGTATTAAGAATGAATTAATGAATGGTTAGGGTATAACAATCTAAATAAATATATTTAATTATTTTTATTAAAAATTTTTTTTTTGATAAAAAAAAAGGATATTCATCAGAGTTTTGACTCGATTGTTTTTGTGGCTGTTGTTGTGGTAATGGTGGTGGAGGTGGTGGAGGTGGCGGCGGTGGTAAAGGTGGTAATTGTTGTTGTGATTGAGGTGGCAATGATGGTGCATACTGTGGCAGTTGTTTCGATGATAATTCATGATGATTATGTTCAACATGTCTTGTTGTTAAATTAGTAATTAGTTGTTGTGATTGCAAGAATTGTTGCAATTGTTGTACTTGCAAAGTAAGATGATCAACGGAAGTTTGTAATCTTGTTATATTATTTGTAGCATTTTGATCGTGAAGAACTGTTGTTGATGACGATTGTGGAGTAGTTGTACTAATACTAATATCCCGAAGACCAGATTCAAGCATAGAAGTGATTTGATCAAACATTGAATTTGTTGATTTTTCAAATGTTGGAACGATTATGTTTTCAAAGTAATCTCTAAAGTTTTCTTCGATCACTGGTTTTATTGTTTTGGATACTCCTTTAGCTATGGGTTCAATGACTGCATTCTTTGCTAGCATTCTTTGTATTTGATCTGAGATAGATTTTTCTATGGTATTTGGAATACTCTGAATATATAATATAATATAATAGATAAATTATCAGATATCCACAAAAAATTTATATGATTTTCTTAATAAGAATACCTTATTCATTGCTTCAGTTATTCCTCTATGAACATGCTTATCTATTGCACTGTTGACCATCTTACTTAATGACGGAAGAACATTAATTTGAATTTCATTACGAACTGTCGTCTCCAATAATTTTGCAGTGTTTGTACTAAGTGTTTGTGAAACAACTTTTAAAATCGTTTCTTGACGTGACGTTTCAGCTGCTTGATGAGCAATACGATCTTCTTCAATCTTTTGAACTAGTAATATTTCAAAAAAAAAAAAAAAAAAAAACAAGTCAAATAAGAGTAAAAAGCATGAAAAAAAGTAACAACAACAACAATAATAATAATACAAGTATATAATTCATTACATTGTTTTTCCAATTCTTTAGAAAATAGTTTTCCAAGCTTGTTGGAAACAGTATCTTCCATTTTTTTTATTTCTTTTAAAAATGGTTGCATCTGGACTTGAGAAGTCGATGATGATGATGTGGTTGTTGTAGATGATGATGAAGATGAAGCTGCAGTTTGTTGTGATTGTGATTGAAAATTTAAATGATCATTATTATTATTATTATTATTAGCATTTTGCTTTCCTGATGCAGAACTTTTACCGCCGGAATTTCTAGAATTTTCTTCTGTCTTTTTTGATTTGCTACTATTATTATCATTTCCACCAGATTTATTTGTCGTTGTTATGTTATCACCTTTTTTGCTAGATGATTTAGCATGTTGTTCTTTTCTTCTTGTAGTTGTTCTTTCAGGGTCAGAAGGGAATTCTGTCACATTTTGGTTAGAAGAACTTGTGGCCTTTTTTTTGTCTTTTAATTTGGCAATGGTATTATTACTAAGAGCAAATTCCGTGACATTTTTTGTTGTTTTTTGTTCATAATTGGTTTTGTTGGTTTCTTTATTTTTTTCCACATTATTATTTGAATCTAATATGGCGGTGGTAGAAGATGTAGAAGATGATTCGAGAATTATATTTCTATTGGTTGATGAACCTTCTAGTTCATCAATGAAGAAAAAAATTATGCATGATTCAAATGTTTAATTATTATCGTTATTGTTATTATTATCCAATATTATTATTATTAAATTTACTCACCGATATCTTTCTTATCAACATCATTTGTAATAGTTTCTTCTTCATCTTCAGTGAAAGATTGATGATGATGATGGTTATTATGGTGATGATGATTTATATTTTCAGAAGAATATGACGTTGTTAATGTAGCAACAGGTTCAGGCAAAAAATGATCATTCACTTTATTCTTTTGGTGATCTTCTTCAAAATCATCTTCATCGTCATAATCTTGTTCACTTAATTGTTGTTGTTTATCGTCGTCGTCATCATCATCAACAAAGGATCTATCAGCACTAACAAATTCCGGGCATTCTTTGAAATTGTTTGGCAGTAATAATTCATTACGAATATGATATTGTTGAACAGCTTTTGTTTGAGTACAAAATGTTAAAACGCCATTTCCACTAGTTGCATCTGGGATAACAACAAAATTTCCAATCAGTTGTCCAACTGGAAATTCAATCATATAATTGAATTGGGCCGAATCATCAAATGATGACGAATCTAGTTTTTTACGACTGGGTAGATTCAAATGTAAGGCAAATATTGAGACTCTAGCGCTATTGCCAACTAATAAAGTCCTATTGGTTCTTTCGTAACCAATACAATTGAACATTGGTTGTTCTTCTTTATTACGACTATTAGATGATTTTTTAGTGGAGAAGACGTGTCGTTCCGGTGGAGGTGGCAAAAATTTGATAGATTGAATGTATTGAGCTGTTTCAACATCGTAAAGGTGAAGATTAGTGTTAAGTTCAGTACCAAGAACTACATATCGGAAATTTGAAGAAGAACTATTATTATGTTCTAAAGTCGTATTACTATTATCGTCACTATCATCAACAAACAAAACTGAGGAAACTTGTTGCCCGTCTAAAATTATTTTTTTGATAGGATCAAGATTGCCATTGCTAAATTCGTCACTATTATCATCATTGCTGGTGACATCATTCATATTGAAATTCGATTTCCAAAAAATAACACTGTCATCATTTGCGGTTGCTAAAGTAGATCCATCAGGTGAAAATGCCAAATCGCTAATTAACTTTCCATATTTTCCTGTTTTCAAAACATAATCAGCAATATCAGTTTCATTGACCTTGACATTTGAAGGTTTATTATTTATTGATAATATTTTTGCAATATTTATGATCCAAACGTCATTAAAATCAACTACCACTGCAAAGATATTAGGATTTACTGTATGCCAAATTGCTCTATGAAATCTTGGTTGATTATTGTTATCTTCCATCAAAGCTTTACCATCAATTTCAAGTAAGGGTTTAGATCTAAAAAATATATAAAGCAAAAATTTAAGTGTCTAACTAATTATTAAATTAATTATTAATATCGAGAAGAAAATTTTTACATACAATATTTCTGAATCTGATCCGCCTGATGAAAGTGAAAGCTCCCAAATTGTAATCCTACTCTCTCCAAGTACTAGAAGCAAATATTTAAAAGATTTGTCATTATCCGCATCCTTTGGTTCGTAGGGAACATGATGAATGCATAGATCAATTATAGATTTATCTTGACTCTTTAATAAAAGTTTACTCCCGAATAAAGTATCAATAACCCGAATTTTTCCTCCTAATAAGATAATATAAATTAGCAATGAAAGAACATATGTGTGTGTGTGTGTGTATATATAATATAACAAATAATGCTAACCTTTAATATGATAACAAATAAAAGAATTATTAACGGCTATCAATTTTCCTGATCGATATTCCAATTCATTTAAAACAAGTGTTATTGTAGTGAGATCCAAATCTTTTGTACACAAAACATTTTCATTACGATTGCCAGTATCATATAAAAGAACTCCTCTTGGTAATCTTACACCATCAGGAAAACTAATAATGATATTTTTTTATTATTATTGTAAAAAATAAAAATAAAAAGATATATATTATTAATTTATTTGTTTTTGTTTATAATAATCCTAATAAAATAATATATACAGCATACTTTGACTGTTGTTTTAATTTACTGACAGCACGAACATTCCAAGCAGAGTAACTTGAAAGATGTGTTTCAACACTGTGTAATGGTTTTGGTAACATGCCACCACTCTCTTTTTGTGATGAAGATGAAGATGATTGGGTTTCATTTTTTTTATGAGAAGAAAACCAAGGTGAATTGAATTGTTGATCAGGATTAGAAGTGGAAGAGGTAGGCGAAGGGGGTGGAGATTGTTGTTTAAAAAGATCAAATGGATTTTTATAAGTAAACAATGGTTTGTTATTATTGTTACTATTAGCGTCGTTTGTTGCTGCAGTAGTGGTGGTTGTTGTAGTGATGGTAGTATTTGTTAAAGTAGTAGATGATGATGGTATTATTGTTGACGATAATGTTGAAGATTGTTCTGTTGATTCCAAATTTGAATATTTATTATTAATATTATTATCATCAGATAATGGCTCATTCATTTCGGCTAATGATTCCTCAGAGGGAATTGGATAACTAGTGTCTTTGGTAGTATCTAAGTTAATGTCCTGAGTAGTAATATCAACTGTTTCGGACGTTGTTTGGAAAATAGTAGGCTGTTGACTTTTTTTTTGCAAAAAAATATTATAAAATATATTTATAAGCATTATGTAAGCATAAAAAATATAAATTACTTAATAAATCAATTGAGTAATAATTAAAAGTGGATAGAAATACCTTTCTTCAATATTTTGTGGTATAGAAAATTGACCAAAAAGGACTTTCTTTAGACCTTCAGTTGATGATTTGTCCACATTTAAAGTTGGATCAATAAATGATGAAGATCCACCACCAAGAATAGCAGAGGTAGAAGAAGATGAAGATGAGGATGAAACAATTTGTGATGATGGTTCAACGCCACTGGTGGTGGTGATTGTTGTTACAGATGACGATGAAGGATAAAAACTCTTTAACAAAGAAGTTAAAGGATTTGATGATACGGTATATTGAGTTTGTTGTGATGAGAAAGAGGAAGATGGTGGTAACGATGTAGTAGTAGTGATAATTGATGTATCATCAATATTTGAAGCTTCTAATGGTGGTACAATAGTTGAAGTATTTGTAAAGGTTGTGTCTGTAGTTGTATCATTAGAAACATTGAAGTCTGTAGTAGGAGTAACCGCAAGAGACGATTGAAGAGGGGGAGGTGGCGGCGGCGGTGGCGGTGGTGTTGTTGATATAGTTGTTGAGGGTGAAGAAGAAGAAGAGGAAGAAGAAGTAGAAGAAATAATACCAAGAGTAGAGAGATAACTAGTAGAAGAATTACTTGGGCCAAATTGTTGTTGATTTTGAGTAAAAGTAAAATTCGTGGTAGAGCCAGGATTAGAAGTTATATCTAGTGGCTCTGGTGGTTCTGGTGGTTCTGAGGTGGCTTCTTGACTTAAGTTCTGACTGATTGACAAGGTTGCATTAGAATCAGACGGAATAGTCGTGTTTATGGTAGTAGTAATTGTAGTAATTTCTGTCTTATTATTATTGTTATTGTTATTGTTAACAGTATTATGAAGAATACTTAAAAGCGATGCTGAAGGATCCATTATTCCAGGATTATCCATCTTAATATATTATTTTAATGTTTTAAAAGTGGATTAAAGAATTTTTTACTAATAATTTTGTCAAATTTTTATATTCAAGTTGTGCACATATATGGCACAAAGCCAAAATTGGAATTATTTTTTTATTTTTTTTGGAGTTATTATATTTTTAAAATTAATTATTATATAAATACAAAGAGAATTATTATTATTTTTAATTAGTATGAGATGAGTTAAAACTGTTGTTGTGATTATAATAATAGATTATGTGTAGGTGAAATAGCGTCGGAAGTTTTTCTTGATCTGCTAACTCGCTTATTCAATGTTTTATTATTTTCAAGGCTAATGTCAGATTTCCTTGTAATCCGAGTTCTTCTAGGTTTTTTAGTTTCTAAATGAGTGAAAAATAATTAAATGTTAACTAACTTTTTTTTAAAAAAAAGTAAAAATCTCAAAATAATCAATTAATAAACTACCTTCAGGCTCAGGTGAAGATTCTAAAGAGACAGTGAGTGATGATGTTCTGGAATGTCCTTTACGTCCTCTTTGACCTTTTATATATGATGGAGAAGGTGATTCACCACGTGAAGATCCTCCTGCTTTACGATTTTCTGCGATAAGATTGTGATATTCATCCATTGGTAAATTAAATTCGAAAAGAGAGCTTTCTTCTTGATCATTATCATTATCATCACCATCGAATTCATGTTCCTTTATATATTTTTCCAAAAAAACCAATTAGCATAAATTGAATAATTGAATTTATTAAGTTATTTCTTAAAATGCCTACTAATTCTTCGAGTTTTTGTATATTGAAATATAAACCAAATCTTTCCCATAATTCTGAAATAGAACATTTTACAGGACTGTTTGAATTGAATTCTTTCGCTATATCTAACATTCGAATATGCCTATGTAAACCTATGCATATGCATACAATATATTTGTTTATATAACATATAATATATATTTTGTTAATTAATCGATAAACTATCATTTATGTCATACCAACAGGTCTATTTTTTATTACAGCACGAAAAAACTCAATCTCCATTTTATCATTCCATTCCACCACACGAGTTATAGCATCGTTGGTAGTTGAAGAGGAAGTAGTAGCTTCATATGATAACGGATTACTATTTTTATTCTTACTATTATTATCATTAATAGAGTATAAAGGACTTGTGGAAATCCCAGTTTTTTGTTGTGGCATATTTTCTCAATTTTCCAAATTTTCTAAGCCATATTTATACTATATATGGGGCATGCTGCGATCCCTGAAATTTCTTTGTAACACAATAAACACAATAATAATATTAATAATATACTGTACATATAACATTAACCGACAGTATTTTTTATTTTCGTATCTTTTTCAGTTCTTAGTTGCTGCCTTGTTGTTTACTATCCCTCCGTAATTGGCTTGTGTCATTTTTTTATTTTCCTTCGACTTCTTAATAATTATTATTTTCAACTATCATTTTTTGTTGACTATTTTTGCTTTTCAACTATTTCCTCTTGAACCTCCTGTTTCTTTTGCTCTTCACTTTGTTTTCTTTTCATCAAGTATTATTTCAGTTAATCGATGACTCTTTTTAAATTTTCAATCTTTCCTTTAGATTGCTATATCATTCTTTAACTCTATTCTTTTTTATTCAAAACTTGGGTTTTCATCATAATCTGTTTTCTAATTGTTGAATTGATTAATCTGTGTTGTTTATTTATTATCTTTGTTCTCGGTTAAGTTTTTGATTGATTTTCTCAATTATTTAATTTTTGATTGTTCTTGGTTTAGTTTATTGGATTTTTGTTCTTTTTTTTTTTTCAAATTATCATCACTCAATTCAATTTTATTAATTGATTACGAAATTTATTTAAAATGTCAGCAGGAGTTGGGTTTTCAGTGAACCGAGTGCAGTAGAAGTGATCCGTAGTTTGGGCATATTAGTCAAAGAATCTTTGATAAACAGCATCTTGTTCAGCTTCTAACTCTTCAATTTTTTAATGTTTCCCTCCTCCTTTATACTCAAGTTTCCTGACAGAAAATTTTTCTTCGACTTTACGCTTTAAAAATAACATATTATCCGGAGAAGCAAACGCTAATTAGTCATGTACTATTGTAAAACATATTTTATGAAATGTGAACATTGATAATAATGATGATAAAAATCATAAAAATCAAAAATCCAACAAATCATATATCTAATAATAGTAATAATCTGTCATAGTATTTGTAATAGTTCATTATCAATATTGGATCTATCGATAACAATAACAATTCTTCTTTCAACTTCATTATTATCGTATATGCTTATGTCTCCCTCTGTGTTGTCTAATCCATTATTATGGCAAATTATAGCAATATTTAAATCATGTCCACAAGATAATATGTTGATGGTGTTTAGATTATCGTAACTACAATATAAGCAATAATGTTATGTACCACATTATTTCACTATATTAAACTTTTTAACAATATAAGCTATCCTTTTACTTGTCTTAGATTTCAATTCGACCTGCACAAGTAAAATGATTGATTCTGGTTGTCCAGCCTGGTACCAGTCATTTAGAAATAAAAAGAAAGGGGGACGAGTTAACTTTAAAGAATTCAAAATACATAAAACAAAAGTTTCCCATGCGCACCACTGAGGAATTCTCTCTTGCCATAAGCTAAGTACTAGATGGTATTTTGATAAGTTATGGCTCCATTTTTTACGAGAATTGCAATGAGAGATGCCTTTATCTGGTCTGCAATACCATTACGGTAATTAGGAGTGGTGGGAAACCGACATTGTTCCAAATACCACAATTAATGGCATGTTTTTTTGTATTTATTTTAAGAGAGAACAAACGTAGCAATTTCATGATCTTGAAGAAGGACAGGAAGACATGGTGGTGCTAAACATATGAGAACATCAGCCAATTCGTTTATGTTTGCTAATAATCAACGAGTGGAACTAATACATTAACTGGAATAGCAACTTTCTTATAGAAATCAAATATAAGGCATTCAGATTTAATGCTGAAAATATGATCCGAGAATGATGTCCATTGTAGGTAAATTTATGTTTATGGACTGTTAAACTAGCATACCTTGTAAGTAACTGTAATATAGATAGTGAGCTAAATGTGGAAAAAATTAGAGATGCACTAGAAGATGATTTCACGCATTCATAGATCATTCGTTGATTATCAATTGTCCGTAAGTAAATCTTTTTGTTATTGTTAGTTAGTGTTGGTCGCCAAAACTATTTTGAAGAGATGAAAATCAAAACTAAAATTAAAAGTTATATGTCAAAACTAAATCAAAAGTCAATAATCAAAAATCAAAACTAGTTTCGACTTGTGGCGAAACCTTTTGACTTTCGCACGGTTGCGAAACTCTCTAGTTTTGGAAACCAACAATATTGTTAGTATAATCGCTTGCAATAATTTGTTATTTTAAGTAGAAGGGATACGGTGATAGAGCTGATGGGATAAAATATACTTCAAACACAGTCTCTTACGAAATTTGTGTGGTAGAAGTTTGCAAACCATACAACAATGAACATGACAAGGAAACAATGGATTTTATTCAAAATTCACGAGCCAGTAAAGATGTGTGGTTGTTCAGGAAGCTATACAGAAAAGAGTATTGATTGCATTTATCAGTTGACCTTTCACTTTAATATTAGAAACTCGGATAAAAAATTTCAAGAACCAAGAGATTCAAAAAGAAGCTCAAGAAATAACAACACCTACAATTTAAACAGCAAAAAACTTTTTTTTACAAATAATACAGACTAGACTTGTTTTTCATTATTAGATAGATATATTGCGATTGATACGACATTTTTAGACATTTTGTATTTTTAAAAATAACAGTTTTGCTTAAATATTCGTTTCTTTGATTTTATATCTTTATGTCAATAAAAGAATTAATTGTTTTTTTATTTTTGGTGCAAACTTTACTATCACTATTACAAAAGTTTGAACCCCTACAATTCCTTTGTCACTCTAAAAAAATTTAAAATCTTAAAATCAAATCTATCTAAACAAGACTGCAACAAAAAAACATGAAATTATTTTAAATGAAAAAAGAAATCTAATAACAACAATTGCTAATGATTACTAGAGAAGATAATTTTATTAATTATAAAAGAGCAAATATTAAACAAAAAAATATGTTTGGTTTCCCTTTTCTCCAAAAGATAAATTTAATTTTAACAATGAACAGGGTTTCTGAATATGGTATATGACGTACATAACATTTATTGATCTTTAAATATTGTCCTAAGAGGCTGAAGTTTTAAGCTGATAATATTAAATAATTAATAATTGAATACAAAATTGACGAATTATTTTTATTTCTTACAATTAAATAAATATTTTACCTGCAACCCATGCATTTTTTTAATATCGTCTTGTAACAATTCATTTACCATACGATGTTGATTCACCGTTGATAAACCTTCAAAGGTTTTAGATGAAATTTCTATAGCAAACATTGACCCACATCCACCTAATTGTATGCATCGTAAAAATGGAAGAAGGGAAAATATTTGTGTAAAGAATATTGTATAAAGAATAATATAAAAGGATGTAAAGAAGAATATATAATGGAAAAGAAAGAATACCTGAAATGTCTTTAACATTTAATTTTGTTGGATTAAATTTTAAAGCTAGTTTTTCATAAAGATATTTTTCATTTCCTGTCAATGATGGTTCTTCAACTTTGGCATCATTATTATTATTATAGTTAATATTAGTAGCGGTGGTGTAATTATTTATTAATATTAAATTTTTATTGTTATTATTGTTATAATTAATAAAAAATCTTTTATGAAATAAAAAATTCAAATTTGAAAATCTAATTTTTAACATCTTTTTCGTTTTAAAAAAAAAAATTTCTTTTTTAATTAAATGGTTTTTGTACTACCAATTATGCACTATTTACCTTGCCACGTGGAAATTTATCAAAATTTCAAATTTGACTTTTTGACTGTAAATATAAATTATTTATCATTAAACAAAAGAAAAATGGATCATAGATTTGTTTCTTCAACAGATTTGGAAGAAGCTAAACGTAAAAGGGCAGAAGAATGGAAAGCTGCTTATGAACGACTTGGGCAAAGTATTAACCACCAATTCATAAAAATAAAAATAAAGGCATTCTTTTTAGTAGAAAGACTAATATATATATATTTTTTAATAGAACCACCCGAAAAAGAAAAAGAAGAATATGATCCTCGCACGTTATATGAAAGATTACAGGAACAAAAAATGAAAAAAGAAGAAGCATTTCAAGAGATGACGCGGTTTAGTAACTTGGTACATAGACTTGATGAAGATGAAATTGAATTTTTAGCAATGTTAGACAATGAAGAAAAAATTAAAGAATTGGACAAATCAAAAAAAGTAGAAAAGGAACTTGAAGAATTTAGACGGTAAGTAAGCCTGTTCATATGATTGGATTAATTGTAGTATCTTAATTTTTTATCATCATTATCATCATTTATTACATGTTATTATTAATTTTTAGTGCGGCGGCTGAGGCTGATATAGCAACATTATCAAAACCTTTATTATCAACAACAGCAACAACCACCACGATAACAAATCATCAACAGCCACAACAAAAAACTAACAAACCTAACTTGACTAGTAATAAATTAAATTCAAAACATGATGTACAACAAAAGATTCTTGCTAATGCAATTAAAAAATCTAGTGATTCATCATCACCATCATCAACATCAAGGAAAAGATCTTTGATAATAGATAAAGATGATCATGACAATCATGATAAAAGTGATAAAAACCATAAGATTAAAGACCATACCAAAGATTCAAAAGAACAATCAAGAGATGTAAAACGTACAAAAATAGAAAATAGTGAAGAAATATCTGAAAATATAAAAGATGTTGAAGGTTCTTCTTCAAATGTCAAATCAAATATAAACAATAAATCATATTCACAAAACGTTAATGCAAACACAAATCCTTTGGCACTTTTATTAGGATATGATGATGATGATGATGATGATGATGATTGATGCATGCTAATTATAAAGACGGTTAAAATAGTAATTGATAATTATAATTATAAAGATAAATAAATGTTAAATAGAATTAATAAAGATAAAGTTAATATTAAATATGATTATGGATGATAGGACCAGTGAATCCTGATAGATTAATATTACTTTTAACCTAATCTATATTATTATATACATTTTGAGAGGAAAATTTTGAGTATGATCAATTTATAGCATGTCTTATATATATTACATTCAGGAGTTTTCAATTCTGCTTATTTATCATTTCCAATACAAGTTTAAAATAAATATTGGAAATGCAGAACTTTCATATTGTAATTACAATTTTGAGAATAGCTAGTGAAATGTATTTTACAAAATCATTATGCTCATTATGATATCAATATTTATTAAGACTATGTTTAAACTCTCATGATAAGAATAAGTTTTTTGTCCATCTTCAAAAGTATAATGTTCTTGGATGAAATGACCAGCAGCAGGATGTGCATCAAAACCAAACCATGATGATAAAACCAAGTATATTAAACCTCTAAATCCACAATATTTATAAATCATAATATTTGTTGTATTTGTGGATACCAAATTAATGTATTCCCAAAAACTTGAACTTTTCTGCGTAGATAATCCTCTGATGACATACATAATAGGATAAATATTCAGCCAAAAAAATTTTAAAAATGCATCGCCACAGAGCATTTTCTTTTCCCACTCCAAAGAAACTGAACTAATAAGAAAGTCCTAGATAAAAATATATATGCAATAATAAGTAAGTACAATGGATGGAAAGGAAACTACCTCATTTCAAGCTTAGGAGGTTGCAATTCAGAGTCCCTGCTCTGAATTTTATTGAAATTGCATTTGGGCTCTTTCTTTCCAAGGGGCCTGCTGGATATCTTCCATGTTCAAGTACTTTGCCCCAAATGGTCACCATGATCTCTGGCACTAAGAGGAAAGCCATAAATAAAATAGTTCAGATTTGTTTGGTATGTTCTATATAAATTAATTATTTTTGGTAGGGGACCTGGCCTCTGCCAAAATAGTCATCTACCATAAGCCCAAGCTTTTGCTGATGAGTAGGTGTGTCACCAACAAAACAAGGTTGAACCCCTTGGATTGCAGAATTTCAAATAAGTTTCAGGCACCAACTTTAGGGTAACATGAAGCAAATACTACATGTTTGTCAATAATCAATGCCCATATGGCAATGGCCAAGCCTAGTCTGAAAAGAAGATAAGGCCTTTGCAGAAGCTCTCACTTGTCAAAAACCTTCCAACATGTGGGGGCCTTCCCCATGGAAAAAATCCACAGTTATAAGGTGTGTGTAAGCACCAGCTGCTTGTTTGTGATAGGAAAATTTATTAAATCTGATACCTATGATCAATATCAGATTTATTGTTTTTTTGGGAATTCCAGAGAACTGGGTAGACCCACATTATTAAAAGTTTCATTTCTGGTATTATTCATTTATTACTCAGATGACACAATTTTTGTAAAAAAATCCTGATGAACAAATCTTTATCAAATAATTATCTTTTTAACAATGGCAATATTTCAAAAAATAAGGGAAATTATGATGATAAATATGATTATGAATAACAGGTATAACTTTTTTAGGTTTTATAATTACCACATTAAAAGAATTAAAATAAAAAAATAAATCAATGTTGTAACAATTAGATTATTTTTCTTTCTGATGATTTTTGCTTTTTGTTAGGTAATAGTACACTTTCATTCTGCTTTCTTTTTCTAACATCTATTATTTTTCTTTCTTCTTGGTAAATCTCATAGGTAGTCCTTTCTTTTCTTAGATAAGCTTCAAGTGTCTGAGTATCATTTATTTTGAAAATATAGGGTGCAATTTTTTCACCT